GCCCACCCATGGGGCTGCAGGGACGTCCCGTGCAGCCCTGCCCGCGCTGCTGCACATGCTGGGACAGACTGGGGGGGCCCTCGGGCACCTTGGGGATCCTCTGCACCCTGGGCGGCACCGCAGGAGGCGCCCGGAAGGACCCGTCCCATCCTTCCGGGGTTCACTCACTGCACCCCAACGCCGGCACCGGGCCGCTGGGCACCGCTGGCCAAAGCCCTGGCCCAGGGACCTGCGGGTGCAGGGCGGTTGCCTGCTGGTCTGATCCTCTGGTGGTCCTCGCTCCTGCATGTTGTTGTCAATTAACGAGTTTACCCTCGTAAAATTCACCTGACCAAGGCCACCCCAGGGCCTGGCCTGGACCTTTGGCCAGAGCTGGCCCCAGCAGAGCTCTGCCCGCACCCTGGGGCTGGGTCTGGGGCAGGTTCTTGCCAGGCCCACGTGAGGGACGACGGCACCTGGCTGTTTGGTGACGGGACGGGCACACGGCGCAGCCTCCATGCAGCCCCACCGTGCCGCAGAGCCACGTCCAGCCATGGGCTCGCCTGCTGGACAATCTGAACGGAGGCCATGACACGCTGAGGCGTTGCTGGGAGCGATCTGTGTAAATCCGTGGGGTGCTCTATCCTGGAAGTAACCCCACGCTCATCGCCACGGGGCTGCGGCTCCCTCGGTGCTCTGCGCGGGGCCAGGCACGCTGCAGTGAGGCCACAGGCGGTGTTTGACTGTGAACGCCTGCATTCAGCTGCCCCTCCCTGCCTTCGGTCCCCCCACACGGGTGGTGTGTGGAGCCGCGGGATGTTGGGCATCGTGGGTTGGACCTGTGGGACCTTCCCTGCCCGTCAGATCACTGCTGCTGGGGTGGAGTGGGGAAGCAGTCTCCCGGCACAGGACGGCACGGCGGGAGGGCCCTCTGCGGTGCTGCTCTGCTTGAGCGTGAAGGCATGGCCACGGGTTGTGTCCCCTCCCCAGGAGAGGCAGCACTGGGCTGGTGACGTGGTGGGGGAATAAGGAAATGAACCCAAATAATCCTCTGTCACCTTACAGGCAGCAAGTTACGGTTTTCTGAGAGTAGGGGAGGCTGGAAGGAGGAGTCATGCCCAGTGGGACTCTGCCACCTCCCTTGGCTCCAAGGGGCTTCTGCGGTGGCTCAGCTGCGCTGTGACTTCGGGCAGAGCTGGGCACTCCTGAGGCTTCTCACTGTCCCGCTGATGCCCCTCACTGCAGCCTGTGTTGTCCTGCACAGCCAGAGCTAAACATCAGCCAGAGCAAGCCCTGGCTCGGTGGCATGGTTGAGCTCTCCCCAGCCCCGATGGCACAGCGGCAGGAGTTACTCATTTGCTCCCCGGCTTGCCCAACATTAATCCAGCCTGCACAGGTGTGAGCAGATGAAGATGACGCGGCAACTTTTAAAAGACATTATTGCTGCAGGCATTAAGGTGTCAGTGGGTGATGCTGTTCTTCGACAGCAGAAACAGGCATCCATTAGCACTGCGGGACAGTTCATTCTGCATCTGCCCAAAGCCACTTTCCAGGGATTAGGTTTCTGTGTCCCGCCCTACGCTCCAGGCTGCAGCCCTATCGCTCACGCAGGAGGAGAATCATGCTGTGGTCAGTGAAAGTTTGTATCTGACCACCCTTGGCCACCACTGTTGGCCAAGTGGCATTCCCAGGCTTCATGTGTGCCGGGCTTCGTACATGCTTCACATGACAGATCAGTTGTCCTGGACACGGAAAGGACACACCGTGGCGCTCGGGGCGGTGGTGGCAGCGCAGCAGCCCTCTCTCTGCAGCACCACTCGATGACCTGGCGGGCAGGTCGGACACAGCCCTGTCACGGGTGCGGGAGGAGCCAGGGTGCTGCGGGAGCAGAGAGCATTAGTGATCTCTGAGTTCAGTCAACAAGTAATAAATACTGAGAGTGCAAACTCTCTGCACATATTCTATTATCATTTGAGCGTTTGGGGTTTTGGCCAGGCAAAATTCAATTTGCAATCACAAATCAGGAAGTAATGCATCTAAACTGTGTTACGTGCCTTGCAGTGCTTTGTACTCGGGGTTCAGCGGGGAAATCCCGCAGCAGGCTCGAGGTCCCGTCCTCACGGCGGCAGCCTGGCTGCAGGCCCACAGCCCCAGCCTGCCCCCGCTCCTTCCCTGCCTCTCCCTGCCTGCAGTGCGAGGGTCCCTGGGGCAGGCGGCCTGCTCCAGCCATCCCCGCAGGGTGCTCTGCCCTCCGGCCTCCCCGCCTGCCTGCACTGGCACCGTGTCTGCACTGCGCCCCCGTTCACCCCAGTCCCTGTGGCTGTGCCCCGTTCACCCGCACACCCCAGTCCCTGTGGCTGTGCCCCGTTCACCCGCACACCCCAGTCCCTGTGGCTGTGCCCCGTTCACCCCAGTCCCTGTGGCTGTGCCCCGTTCACCCGCACACCCCAGTCCCTGTGGCTGTGCCCCGTTCACCCGCACACCCCAGTCCCTGTGGCTGTGCCCCGTTCACCAGCACACCCCAGTCCCTGTGGCTGTGCCCTGTTCACCAGCACACACCAGTCCCACCTGTTCTGCTTAGGACAGTGGCACAGGCAGCCCTGCTGGCTCCTTCCCTGTCCTGTGCCCCTGCCCTGGCACCTGCACAGAGGCTGTTGGAGGCTCTTTCAGCGAGGAGAGGATTCCCCAGAGTCTCCCTGGCATTGGAACCCTTTCACACCCCCCGGTCAGTCCCTTGCTCCAGCAGTCACTGAGGTAAGTGCGAGGCGCCGGGAGAGGCTCCGGCATGTAGGGGATGCCCTGGCTGGGGTGCAGGAGGCTCATGCACCTGCGCTGTGTCACCCTGCTGTCGCCTGTCGCGGCCCAGTACTGAGCACACCAGGAGGGTTCCCCGTGCATCAGGAATTTACCTCTGAGCTGTGGCCGTGGCCCTTGGGAGTTGGGAAAGTTGGATTTATGACAATGCTGGTGCAGAAACTGCCCATGCTTTGTAGCGTATAAATGTTAGTGATGAAATGAAACCCACAACAGATGGATGGATTTTGTGTCCCTAATCTAAGCCTTATTCAGCTTTAAACTCGCACGAGGTGGACATTCACAGATTCATGAAATGAATTAATGTGACCCCCAATAGCTGCTGGGTCCTGACCCGGGGGTCCTGGACCTCTGTGACTGTTCCCTTCCCACGACACACACTCGTGCAATTATTTCCCAGCTGATGAATGTCTGTGCAAGCGTCCATGTCCTCCATCCTCTCTCTGACAGGGAAGGTCTGTGCGGGCCCTGTCCTGCCCGCGCCTGCCTCCAGAGAGGGGCAGGGTGGTGCTGCCGAGGTGCGGCGCTGCCTGTCCCCACTCCCCGTGGTGACCGACAAGCCCGCGCTCAGCTTGACTCAGTGGCCTGTCCCAGTGAGCA